TGATCTGGATTAAACTTGATGTCAACGGATCGAACCTCACTGGACCGACTGAACTGGATAGGACTTGATTTAACCGGACTGGAGTGGATTTAAGCCGCATTCAACCACATTGGACGAGACTGGACCAGACTGAACCGGATTCAACCGGAATAAGCTGGTTAGACCCAAGCTGAACCGGACTGAACTCTTTTTTTTTTTTTTAAGTGGACTGAACCAGAACAGACAGGATGGAACAAGTCAGAACCGGATAGAATGAGAGCGGAGCAGACTGAACTGGTCTGAACTGGATTGAACTGGATTGACTCAAAATAAACAGGATCAAATGAGATTAGCCTTGACTGAACCGGATAGAACCAGACTGAACCGGATTGGACTGGGCTGGACCAGACTGAGCCGGAATAAACTGCACTGAACCAGATTGCACCGGACGGAAATTGGTTGAACCGGATTGAACCGGATTGAAGTTCACTGACCTGAAGAAGACTGAACCTGACTGGACAGAATCTGACTGGATTGAACTGGAATGAACTGGATTGAGTCCACCGAAGTGGACTGAACTGGAATGAACTCGAAAAAACGACGTTGAACCGGACTGAACAAGAGTGAGCTTGATTTAATTGGGTTGAACCGGATTGAAGTCCACTGATCTGAACGAGATTGAGCCGGACTGGACCGGATCTGACTGGATTAATCTGGAATGAAGTGGATTGAAACGACTGGACAGGATTTGACCAGGGTTGAACTGGACTGAACAGGATAGAAGCAGATTAGACCGGATTGAGCCACATCGAGCCTGAGTTAAAATAAACCGGATCAGACGGGATTAGACTCGATTGAACTGGATTCAACATAAGCAACAGGATCGAAGCGGACTGAACCGGATTGAACTCGATTGAACCGGATTGAAGTTCATCGATCCGATCAAGAGTGAACCCGACCGGACCGGGTTTGACTGAATTAAACTGGAATGAACTGAATCGAACCGGATGAAACTGGATTGAAGTTGATTGAATCTGAATGAACTGAAAGAAACGGGACTGAACATGACTGAACCGGGCTTGACTGGAAAGAACTTGACTGGACTGGACTGGACCAGACTGAACGGGTTTAAATAGCGTTGAACCAGATCGAACCGGCTTGAACTTGATTTAACTGGATCGAACCGGATTGAAGTTCATTGAACTGACATAAGATTGAACCTCACTGGAGCAGGCTGAACTGGATAGAACTTGATTTAACCGGACTGGAGTGGATTTAACCGGACTGGACCAGACTGGACCGGATTGAACAGGGTTAAACAGCGTTGAACCAGATCGAACCGGCCTGAACTCGAGTTAATCTGACTGAACCGGATCGAAGCGACTCAACTGGAGTGAAGTCGATCGAACACGACTGAACTGGAACAGACTTGATTTAACCGGATAGAACCGCACCGGACTGGACTGAACTGGATGGAAGTCGACTTCGCGGGACGGGAGCGGACTGAAACCGGATTGGTCCACAGTGGACCAGATTTAACCGGAATAAACCGGAATAAACCTGAATAAACCGGAAAAAAACTGGAATAAACCGGAATAAACCGGTTAGAACTTGATTGAACCTGACTGAACCGGCTCCGACCGGACTGAACTTTTATTTTTTATGGGACTGAAGCAGAATGAACCGGGCGGAACCGGACTGAAGCCGGTTAGACCGGATCGAACCTGATTTAACCTGATTGAGTCAAAATAAACCGGGTCGACCGGCTCAGACTTGACTGAAGCGGGTCGAGCTGGACTGAACTGGCTGGAGCCGGAATGAAATAAACAGAGCTTGATTTTATTAGGTCGGAGTGGACGGGACCGGATTGAGCCGGACTGAGCCGGATTGAACCGGATCGAACCGGTTTGGGCCGGACGCGCCCCGCCCCGCGGACCCACCTGAGCGTGCGGTTCCCGTAGCAGCCGGGGTCGCCGATGCCGAGGTCGTCGGCCATGATGAGCAGGAAGTTGGGCCCGGGGCGCGCGCGGGCGGCGAGGACGAGCAGCGGGAGCAGCAGCAGCAGCAGCGGCGTCGGGGCGCGCATGGCGGGGCCTGGGGGCGGGGCGGGGCCGGGGACACGCCCACGAGACGTCAGTCAGCGCCGGGCCCCGCCCAGGGCGACGCCACGCCCAGAAAACGTCACCGTCCGCGGAAACCACGCCCACTTCCCGTCAGTCAGCTAAAACCACGCCCACTAACGGTGTCTCAGCGAGCGGGCCCCGCCCACATCCCGTCTGTCACCGTCAGGTTCCGCCCAGGGTGAAGCCACGCCCAGAAAACGTCACCGTCCGCGGAAACCACGCCTACTTCCTGTCAGTCAGCTTAAACCACGCCCCCTTCCTTCCTATCAGCGAGCGGGCTCCGCCCACATCCCGTCTGTCACCGTCAGGTTCCGCCCAGGCCGAAGCCACGCCCAGAAAACGTCACCGTCCGCGGAAACCACGCCTACTTCCTGTCAGTCAGCTTAAACCACGCCCCCTTCCTTCCTATCAGCGAGGAGGCCCCGCCCACATCCCGTCTGTCACTGTCAGGTTCCGCCCAGACCGAAGCCACGCCCAGAAAACGTCACTTTCCCGGAAAACACGCCCACTTCCCCTCAGTCAGCTAAAACCACGCCCCCTTCCTTCGTTTCAGCGAGCAGGCCCCGCCCACATCCCGTCTGTCACCGCCAGGCTCCGCCCAGGCCGAAGCCACGCCCCAAACGGTCACCGTCCGCGGAAACCACGCCCACTTCTTCTCAGTCATCGCTGGCCACGCCCACGGCCCGTGTCTCAGCGTCAGGCTCCGCCCACCGCGAAGCCGCGCCCACAGTGACGTCATCGTCCACCGATCCGCGTCACTCACCGTCACTCCCCGGCCTCAGATCCGTCACTCACCGTCA